TGGCGTAGTGCGTACGGGAGGAAGATCACTCATCACCTGAGTGAATAGTTTGGCCCGGCACTTTCTGCAACGTATGCACGAATCAATCACCTTCTGTATGATCCTGGAACCTTGAACTACCCAGCCCCTCTTCCTCATCTGAAGAAGGGTGGCAGAAACACCTTCATGGTTGACACGATGGGCGTCCTCAGCAAGGAGAGAGCTTAATCGCCACTTGTAGGGGATCAATGGGACCCCGTACCTCTCCTCCACAACGGATTGAATCCGGCCATAGCACATCAAGAGCCCCGTTGTTTTATCCTTGCGCACAACCAGGTGGTTGTGGTTGTTCTACCCGCTCCTTAGCCGTGGGCACTGCCTCCCACTTTAATCCTACAGCAGTTCGACCCCTGTCAGATAACCAAAAGCGCAAAGCTCTGTGGACATAAGCTATGACCCCACAGAGCTTGGCTAGAGAATTGAACCGTGAAAGATCTACTTGATTTACCAAGGCTGAACCCCAGTACTCCTTGATCCTGCAGACATTAGAAGCAACAGAAGGAGACCCCTTAGTCTCAAAAGACGTAACCTTGTTGCTGAATGGTAAAAGCTCTGGACTTACTCGGCCGCTGACCACAGCTTTGACGCTATCAAAACCATCTGGAGTAGTCTGAACCCTTTCCTGCGACCTTGTTAAGATGGCAGAAAAAGCCTTTCTTTGGAGTCGACTGACGACTTCTCTAGTCCCAGAGGCCACCTCTGCAGCCGACTTTATGGGCCATTCCTCTACTGGCTTGGTTAGGAACATGGGGCCGGTCTGCCATGAAGGGTCCTCACCAAGCTGCTCAGGGGAACATCCTCTTGTGACCAGGTCAGCCACGTTGACCTGGCCAGGAAGCCACCACCAGTCGGTCACAGGCCCGGCCTTCTGTATCTCTCCCACTCGATTGGCAAAGAGGGTCTGGAACCCGTAACTCTCCCATTGGATGGCACCTAACACAGTCTAACTGTCCAGAAAATGGTACCAACGATCTATTTCCAACCGAGTGTACTTCAGAAAGTAACCTGTCAGGCGAGTGGCAAAAACAGCTCCACAAATCTCTGCCTTGACAGCATCTCCCTTTTGTTCGATTGGAGTCAATTGGCCTTGTACTCCACGAGCCGAGTCTTGACCCATCCAGACGTTTCCCAGCGCAGGTAGAGGACCGCTCCGTATGAGTCACAACTCCCATCAGAGAACGTGATCCCCCAGGGTTTACCCACCCAGCCGGATGGTGTAATACTCCTGGGAAAGGTGATGGTACTCAGCCGCACGTACTCCTCAAAGAGCTTGATTGCTCTCCCACGTAGTTCACTTGACAGCGGCTTATCCCACGTATCCTTAGTCAGTATCCCGGCCTCCTGAAAGGCTCTTCTGAAGAGAATAACACCTTTCTACTTCAGGGGCGTCGCCAGACCAAGGGGGTCATAGAGCCCTGCTACCTGACTCAGAAGCATGCGGCGGGTGAGGGGATTCGGCATCTTCTCCCCTATGTTCTCCTCAGCGAGGTCTACTTCAGTACGCATCTTTTTCTTTCTTGCAGAGAAGTTAATAGCCACCATGAGGAAGAGCTTGTCTTCTTCCACGACATACAGTAACCCACACCCAAAGCCTTGTTGTCCTCG